CACCGAATGGTTAGAGGCACACTGAACCTAAACGTTAAGTTAGAGAGGTCTCGTCTAATGAAGTCAACGCTCCGTCCCCCTCGTGCTCTGTTCCAAAGTCCCGAAACCTTTCAGCTCGAGTTACAAAACCGTTTTCAGTGCCTAGAAGACTGAAATGAAGTGGACGATATGAATGACAAGCTCGTGGAAACTGTCCATGCGGTCGGAGCTAAGTTCTGCAAGACCCGCCGCAGAAGAACACAAAAACTCTCCGATCACACTCTTATTCTCATAGCTGTTAGACGGGAGATGAAGCTACATTCTTCAACAGACTTGATAGCATACAGGCATCTGAACAGACAGATCTCCAAATGCATGCGGCGGGACTTACGCAACTTCAATACAGCTCGTATTGAAGAAGCGATCGAGCGGAACCAAGGCTCCAAAGTCTTTGCCAGAGATCTGTCTGCCAGAAAGAGCCACCTGTCAAAGCTGAAGACAGAATGTGGCAGCATCGTTTCCGGGACACCTGAGGTTTTGAGTCAGATTGAGAGGTTCTATGGGCAGCTGTACACGTCATCGTTGGAGCCACACGCAAGTGTGAGTAACGATCCAAGAGCGAGTCTCATCCGACACTATTCTGAAGATATCCCGGACGTCAGTCTGAGCGAGATTAGAATGGCTTTCCAGCACCTTAAAAACGGTAAGGCCCCAGGCGAGGATGGAATTACAGCGGAGCTTCTGAAAGCGGGTGGAAGACCGGTACTTGAAGGCCTTCAGAAGCTCTTTAATTCCGTCCTCCATGGTGGCATTACACCGGAGGCGTGGAGCAGAAGTGCGGTGGTCTTGTTCTTCAAGAAAGGTGACAACGCTCTCTTGAAGAACTACAGACCGATTTCCCTTCTGAGCCGCGTCTACGTGCTGTTTTCGAGAGTCATTACGAATCGTCTCGCGCGCAGACTTGACGACTTCCAGCCTCCCGAACAAGCCGGTTTCCGAAAGGGCTTTAGCACCATAGACCACATACATACCCTTCGGCAAATTGTACAGAAGTCAAGAATTTGCCACTATGTCTGGCGTATGTGGACTATGAGAAAGCCTTTGATTCCGTCGAAATTTGGGCGGTGCTGCAGTCTCTTCAGCGATGCCAAGTTGACTGTCGGTATATCGAAGTGTTGAAGTGCTTGTATAGTAGGGCTACGATGGCTATCCGAGTACATAACCAGAGTACGAAACCTATCCAATTGCAGAGAGGTGTAAGACAGGGTGACGTCATATCCCCGAAACTCTTCACCGCTGCATTGGAAGACGTTTTCAAGCTTCTGGACTGGAAAGGATACGGTATCAACATCAATGGCGAGTACATCACTCACCTTCGATTTGCCGACGATATAGTCCTTATGGCAGAATCGCTGGAGGACCTAAGCACTATGCTCAATGACCTCGATAGTGTTTCCCAACGGATAGGTCTTAAGATGAACATGGACAAAACAAAGATCATGTTCAATGTCCATGTCACACCTATGCCGGTAGTTGTTGGGAGCACTAAGCTCGAAGTTGTTGACGAGTATGTTTACCTGGGACAAATAGTCCAACTAGGTAAGTCCAACTTCGACCGAGAGGTCAATCGACGGATTCAACTCGGCTGGGCAGCGTTCGGGAAGCTACGATACATCTTCTCGTCAGACATACCTCAAAACCTGAAAACGAAATTGTACAACCAGTGCGTGTTGCCAGTGATGACTTACGGAACTGAGACGTGGTCCTTCACTGCAAGCCGTATGAGGAAGCTCAAGGTCGCTCAGCGAGCTATGGAGAGGGCTATGCTCGGAGTTTCTCTGCGTGATAAACTTAGGAATTAGGATATCCACAGTAGATCCAGAGTAACCGACATAGCCCAACGGATTAGTAAGCTGAAGTGGCAGTGGGCCGGCCATATAGCTCGAAGAACCGACAACCGATGGGGAAGAAAGGTTCTCGAGTGGCAGCCTCGTACCGGTAGGCGAAGTGTAGGGCGTCCCCCCACGAGATGGAGTGACGACCTGGTAAGACATGCAGGAAGTCGATGGATGCAGGTGGCTCAGGACCGTGCTTTGTGGCATTCTTTGGGGGAGGCCTATGTTCAGCAGTGGACTTGTGAAGGGCTGTAATGAAATTAAAATGAAGCGTCATTTAAAATAAAATAATATTTCATTAATGGCAAGATAAGAAAAAGTGCAAGGGAGATGGATATTATTCCATCTTGCTTCTTTATAGCCGCCAAGGCCCGTCTACACTACGTCAGAAAGGGTCATGACGGAAAAATTTTACACTTTTTCTCGCCTAGCCCCCATCCGCCAAATCCGTACCGTCTGATAAAGAACTTCGTTACAAAAAAAATTTAAAAGCAAACGCAGTACACAACTTACACAGAGATACTACACAAGGGAATCGAGAGCTGTGGGATAGAGGTGGCAGAAAACGTTATGCCGTTTGCCGTCACGGTGTACAACTCGGTGCTAAGGCGTGTCAGTAGATGTTTCACATCAAAAACCGGACTAGTTACAAGGGAGAGTAGGATTCGATCCCTATGGATTCTGTATAAACTTAATTATGTATGTAAATAGTTTACCCATCTCGAAAATTATATGTAAGGTAAGCAATAATGAACATAGCCCTAACGAAAAGGTCCGTCGGAAAGAAGGAGAAACTTTGCAGTGGAAAATGAATTCATCCATGCATCAGTCTATTTACACGGTCGATACTTAGACTTTATATCTAAGTTTTTGTTCGCAAACAATCGCCTTTACTTGAGTGTTGTGTTTGCTTCTTGCCAAAGAACATCGGTCAAATACGACCTGACCAAAATATGAAATGACCACTAATGATTGATGCGTCAAAAAATAGTGACATAAGTGTATATTAAATTACGGGGCCAACTTCTTTTCTTGGAGCCGGTAAAATAATTTAGCATTGTGAAAAACCTCATTTCCTTATTACTTTTTATATGTTTTGAACGCATCTAAGCCCGTCCCGTTTTTATCTGTGGTACACGTTTCATCATAACACTAAAGTAACACTACTATTATGCGTTTACTTTTCTTAAATACTAGATTTTATTGCAGATTTTTTATTTATTTTTGTAGTGTATTATTAATAATATCATTTTAGGTGGGGATATGGAAAGTATTCCGAAATAAGTTGCAAATGATAGGTTGACAGTAAATACATAATGCACCAATACTTAGAACGGAATGTATTATGAATGTCTCTATGCAGTCTGTGGTATTATGACACGAGAGCTGTCAAAGTGTGAGCAAAAGTCAAAGCACCTGTGTCTTAGATACTTAGCAGTGAAAAGATTAGAAAGGTTATTGATTCATTTTTGTGGTTTTAGTCATTGAATTGACTTATTTAGTTAAGTATATATTACTGCATAGTTTTCATATCAATTGTTTTAGCCGAGGTTGTAGTCATGGCTGCAGTCATGGCTACATCATAACCTCAAAAATAACGAAATACATAAGTGTAACGTTTGTAATAGTGGTGTATGGTGTCCACTATTAACAGACTCCGAGTGGTTTAGGAGCGGAGAAATAAAACTTTCTGATATGCCTTACTATGTGCAGGCGAATGGAGTATGGAGTATCTTTTATTCAGCTAACCCTACTTATATTTATATGTCCGGCTACGTCCTTAGTTTACCAATAGTAAAATATTTTATTTACTTAGCCAATTACAATTCATACATTTTGACCAATAAAGATAAAACCATAAAATATTATGTACAACTATTATATGTATGTCGCGCTCCGTTTGCCGGCGTTAGGCCCGCCACATACATACGGAATTCCGTTTCGAGATTCCGTTTCGGAATTCCGAACGGGCGGCCACACACAAACGGAATCCCATTTTGCCCGCAAAATATCGAACGGAAAACTACCGTACGTGTGTGGCGGGTCATAGATTTTATATGGACTTGCTGCGTTCGGGATTCCGAATCAGAATATCGAAACGGAATTCCGGCCTTAGATTCGCGGATCGTTTCTCGTAGCTGCGTTGTAGACGGAGCTATAAAAGTGATGCAGACCGGCGCGCGCGCGTAATCGGCGAGCGGCGGAGGCGTGGGATACATCTCCGGAACAGCAAGAAGAAGCGAAGCTGCGGCGTTGAAGAAACGGCTCGAAAATGCTCGACGGATGCGTGAAGATAGCCGGCGTGTGAAGACGATGCGGTGCTGATGATATTTGCGGCTGTTTCTTGTTTCTATATTAGAACGTTAAATATATATACGTCACATTATCTCGTATCGACTTGCAGCCCGCAGTATCTCAGTAGCCGAGGGTAATTAGGAAATAAATATTTTCTTTAGACCTTCACCTTTTGCGTTACAGTAGTAGCAGGGTAACATTATTTATAACGGTCTAGGGTTGATTAGCCTGGCTGCTACATCACTCTCCCACTAGCGAAAGCGTACCGGAGGCTTGACGACTCGCCCATGTCTCGTAGTTTTTAAAATAGGTTTCATCTGGGTTGATGTAGATGATAGGTTTTCAAGCTTCCTCGCTGGTGGTTGAGATGATGATGATGATGATGGTGAATCCTCTGAAGTATTCTGGTTAGTAATATAGGTAGGCTTTAGTCGGTCGATCGATATAATTGTAGATTTCCTTCCGGGTATTTGTAATTTAAAAGTCTTGCTATTTCGCTCTAATACTTTATACGGTCCATCGTAGGTAGGTTGAAATTGTTTCTTTCAAAACCTTGCTTGCATGTTTTAAAATCTTGATGAACGAATACTGATTTATTATTTCCGTGTGATGATGTGCGTTTCGACGATAAGACTTTGTTGATTGATTCTCGAAGTCAAGTTACAAAATCGTAATTCATTTCTTGATTATTTGACGATGTTGAAGTGAAGAAGTCACACGGTAGTCTTATGCTGCAGCCGTAGGTTAGCTGAGCGGCGCTAAGACTAGTGTCTGCACGCGGTGTTGCTCGTAGTCCAAATTGCTATTATGAGCTACCTACCTATTGATGAGCTACCTACAGTGCTCTGTAGGTAGCTTATCAATCCACTTTGTACTCGTATGTTGAGATAAACGAGTTTTGAGTTCGGTCTTCAATGTACGATGCCATCGTTCGACTACTCCGTTTGATTGAGGATGGTATGCCGTTGTACGTGTCTTCTGTATTCCCATAGTTTGAAGAAGTTTGAGGAATAGGTTGCTTTCGAAGTTTCTTCCTTGATCTGTTGTGATGGTTTTGGGTGATCCAAAACGAGTAATCCAATTTTCATAAATTATCTTCGCGACGGATTCAGCTGAAGTATCATCGGTAGGTATTGCTTCTGGCCATCTTGTTGTTCTGTCGATCATTGTCACGAGGTAACGATGTCCTTGCGGTGAAGTAGGTAATGGTCCAACGATGTCAACGTGCAGGTGTTCGAATCTCTCCGTAGGTGGAAATGAAGCTAGGCTGCTTGATGTATGTCTTTGTACTTTGAATTTTTGGCATTGAATGCATTGCTTCGCCCAGTTGTCAACATCCACTTGTATTGAAGGCCAAAATAATTTTCCAGTGAAGAGTTTTCTTGTTGCTCTAACAACTGGATGACTGATGTTGTGCAGTGCATTGAAGACTTCGCGACGACATTCTTCTGGTAGGTATGGTCGCATGGTTGATGTTGAGGCTTCACAGTAGATAGGTAGATGCGTCATTGGCATTGTAACTTGCTTGATGGACAAGTTACTTTGCTTCGATAGATGTTTGATGTTGTCGCTATCTCTGTCTTGTGCTTCGGCGGTCTTGTGATATTCGGTTGATATAGGGCACGTTACACTGTCGATTTGTATGCGACTGAGTGCGTCGATTTCAAAATCATTCGACATCAAATATTTTAATCTGAACGTTTTTCTTGCTTGATGAGTATTTCACTCGATTGTGTCCCAAAGGCAACTTCATTAGTACTTGTGGGAATATCGGTCATTTTGTTTAAAGTGAGAAGGTATAAAAGAAATGTTGTAAATTATTTGAATAGATTTTTAACAGTTTTAGGCGTAATTCAAGAAGCTAATCGTTTTATTTGCATGAAATACACTCAAGTTAAGTGTGACTGGTCACTGATCACAGAAACTGGCTGCTACACAACGTTTCGAAGATTTACGTCGTCTAATTCTCAGCTCAGTTCGACATTTGTCCAAATGCACAAATTGTTGGTTCTCGGGTCTGAGAGTGTTGTGCTTGACCTTGTGTTCCTGATACAGTACAATAGCTTACCTGCGTTCTTGTCGTAAAAGCTTCTATTTCGGACACAGCGATGAGTGAGTGCTTCTGTGTTCGCTCAGTTCTATAGTTTTTTTTAGGTGGCTAATGAGTATGCAGTTCACATGAGGGTACCACCGCTGTCCATCAACAGCTGCAGCAACAGAGGATTCGTAGGTGCATTGACGGCCTTTAAATAAACAGTACTTTCGTTTGTTGAAGGTTCTTGAGTCATAAAAGTTCATAAACATCGTTGGTGACAGTTCTTCTATGTGGTCATGTGAGGAAGAAAAATCGTGGAAAATGGCGAAGTGGCAGGTCAATTATTTAGATTGTGTGGATTGTATTGAAAATTTTATCGCAACGTGCGATGATAAGAATTATTCCAAAGAATCTCTCAAAGCACGCCCCGCAGTAAATGCGATGCATAATATTTTTGTTTATATACAAATCAATTGTTATCCGTTAGTCTCACTAAAATTCAGAAACGACTCGACGGATTTTGATGAAATTTTTGTGTGTAAAATGGGTTTCTAGATGGTGCAAATTTACATTCGGACCGGAAGGTGGCGCTGTTGCCGAGATTCAGCAATCACCCGTGCGAAGCCGGGGCGGATCTCTAGTGTAATATAAAAATAAAATATAGTACTCCTGTGCAGTTGATAGCTTTCGATATATTGTCACTGTGATCGGAAATCAGCCATCAATCTGCCTTCAGAGAAAATCATTATCATCATCATGTTTTACTTGGTCCCTTTTGACGTAAGAGTGTTCTTTTTTAAGGACTTTCTAAAAGTCAGAGTCTAGAGGATTTACTACTATTATGAAATCAGCGATTGCAGTATCAGACTTTTGCAATTCTTACGGAGACCTGGTAGCTTAGGTAATAAGCGTCAATTTAAAAAAAATAGTAGAAAAGAACGAATAAACATCGCGTGTGGCATTGGATTTACGGTGGGGAAATGGCCTTAGCTGAGCCCGATGGCCCGAATGCCCGAATGGCCCGAGTAAAAGCCATTGTGATAACATTTTTAAACCACCTCTTGAGTCAATTCTTTGTTATTAAAATGATGATTTGCACGTAAGGTTAGGTATAAAGTTCACCTTAAAGTACTTTCAAGGTTAAAACGATGGATTTAATATAATTGGACATTTTGCCCGTGCAGTGGCAAGTAAAAATACCCACTACCCCATACCTTCCCGTGTGTGACGTAAGAGGCGACATTCTGATAACAGCAAAAAACAATAAAAAAGTGCGGTAGCCAACCCGCTCGCCAAGCGTGGCAACTATGGCATAATACCCCCCATGATGAAAGTTTTGTTTGCTAATTATTTATAAAAAGTATAGCATTTTAGTGTTAAATTACGCACTATACCTATGCCTTATATCAAGACTGCATCTAGTCCTCTTGAAAGACACTTGACCCGCTACCTGTATCGACAAAGTCTATTAAGACAAAGGTTCTTTTAAATTCAAAGCTTCTCATAAAATTTTATTTAAGCCACCATTACCGTTATGGATTGCTTACATTAACATGATTATATCATCGCTGGTATCTTTAGTTTTGTAATTTTATTTTTTTGATATTTAAAGTATTTCTATGAATTATAAAGTGAAATATATACGCTCTGAAAGAACAATATTTTGTTATTAGATTAAGACTAGAGAGATTAGTAACAGTTCGGTAGCGTAGTAACTAAGCATTTGGCTACGGCGTCGTATTGCTGCAAGTTCGAATCCCATACGAAACAATTATTTGTATGGCATTCAAATATTTGTTCCGGCACTGGATGTCTGTCCATGTATACGTCGCAGCCAAGTAGTTTAACTAGCCGTTAAATTAACAGCCTAGTCTTCTTACTAAACGGCGCCATCTTGTTGAGTAAAATTATTCAAGTGACCTTGTCATGCAATGTCGCTGGTCAGTACCTAATTATGCACTAAATATATTTATCTATATATTTCAAGTTATGTTTAAAATTTGGCTACTCTTTCAAAAATAACCCTGTAATATACACCTTCACGTTTAATAAGAAAATACAAGTAAAGTTTCTTAAATTAAACTTTTGAATCTGGTCTCGCTTATGCCACACGTAAAATGCCCAGACCGGCGGCAGTAGCAGCGTCAAAGGTGTGAGATGTCTGATACTGCGGTCGTCAATTCTTCTGCCAAAGAAACAGGAGAGACCCATGTGAAGCAGTGGGCTTTAGAGGCTGTTGATGATGTAGAAGAAGAGAAGGCTTTCGTTAAGCTACTATAAGCTCGCTTAATCACCCGTGGCTAGGTTAGCACTTGCCATGAGGTGGGATGTAAGTCCATTTAAAAGCTTACTGAACGCATGGCAGCATAGAGGATTAAGCGCTCGTCTCTAAATTTCATAATACGTGAGCAAAATTCCATTGCCGACGGCACCATTGAAGTTTTGTTAATTGAAAGACACCATTAAAATTTTGAAATAAATGTCCTGCAGACTGCGTCCCGGCGGCCAGTCTTACTAGCCATCTGCGTAGGACAGAATTGTAGTGCCCCAGTGCACGCGCAAGCACAAGTGCACTGTCTATTTCCCGACTCTTATCGTACGATGGGACGGAAAACCGACACGACCGATGAAAGATCAGACGCAGGACTAACAGCTTTACACACTTTCCGAGGCAAAAGAGTGACACCGCCCACTTCCTGACTCCGGGCTGCTCTTGAGCATGTTTCGATAATTGGGATTCGAACTCGGGACCTCATGAACATCAACCGCACTTACACCCACACAAAAATAGGACAAGGTTTGAGAAATTATAAAAATATTTTGAGGACGTGTTATATCGTTTGTTAACATGCTTAGGGGCAGCGAGGCAGACTCTTCCTTGCCCAAAAACCTTCTCATCTCACGAAAACATATATATATATATATATATATATATATATATATATATACGAGGGCGGCACTGAAAATTTCGGGAATCAGGGAAGTGACACAACATTACTATTTAAAAATGTATTTATTGCTTTTCGAAGTATGCTCCGCGAAATTTGACACATTTTTCCATACGATGGAACCAATCATTGAAGCAACCATTCCATTCGGAAGTTGGGGTCTCCAAAATGGCCGTTTTGTAGGCGTCCACAGCTTCTTCAGGTGATGAAAATCTCTGTCCACGCAATTTATTCTTTATTTTAGGGAAAGTATAGAAATCATTAGGGCTTAGGTCGGAGCTATACGGCGGATGGTCTAATAATTCTATGTTTTCTTGCTCTAAAAACTCTTTTGTTCTGTGTGCGGTGTGAGGACTCGCATTGTCGTGATGGAGGATGATGCGGCGGTTGCAGTTCTCTTTACGGAGTTCAGAAACGACCTGTGGCGAACAAATGCTAGCATACCATTCTGCATTAACCGTTCTTTGTCCTTCAAGAGGAATAGTCGTAACATGGCCGGTTTTGGAGACAAACGTGGCCACCATTTTTTTTGCAACACTCCGTGAACGAACAATTTTTGTTGGCTTTAACTCATTTTCGAACACCCAAACTCGTGACTGGTTTTTTGTTTCGGGTTTGTACGCGTATATCCAAGATTCGTCACCTGATACGATGTTGCATACAGTATTTGAGGATCCTGCGTGGAATCTTTCGATAGGTCTGACGCACCAAGTAACGCGAGCCGCTTTTTGCTCTTCACAGAGCGAATGCGGTATCCATCGGGAAAACAACATTTTTACACCTAATTGTTCATGCAAGATTATTTGTATTTGACTCATGCCAATGTCTAAAGTTTCCTGAATTTCGCGGTATGTCACATGTCGATCTTCCTCAATCAGCTTACGCACAGCATCAACGTTTTCTTGGGTGACTGCAGTTTTTGAACGACCTTGACGGGGATCATCACCGAGTTTGACACGTCCACCTTGAAATTCAGCAAACTAGCGATAAATTGTGGTTTTGGATGGGGCTTCATCACCAAATGCAGAAATCATCCGGTCAATACACTGTTTTTGTGTTAAATCACTTCGAAAGTCACAATAAATCATCGCTCTTGAATTTTCTCGAGTCAATTCCATTTTCTCAACGACTAAACAAGTTTGACAAAACCTTGTGACAAGACCGAGAATCTTTTTTTAAATAAATAAATGGTATTCGATTTTTAAACCAAGGACTTTTCAATTAAAAAGATTTTAATATGACAGGAACAGTGGAAATATTCCATTCCCGATACTTTTAGTGCAGCCTATGTATATACATATATTATAACAACTTTTATTAATATAAAAATTACTCAATATTCATACAACTTTCGTATAACTTTATTGCTATTTTGCATCCATTCCATCATTGTAATTTACAAACTTGGCTATACTTTACTTACCGTGCTGAAACTCTGCAATTATTAGCAATTTAATAAAGCAATAATTTCTGCTGCGCTTTCACCGAAACGTGCTCTGAATGCTTTCCTAACAAAATTACATTATAATATCTTGCGGCTCTATGCATGAAGCAGCTTTGGTACATCTTTATCGCTGTTAAACTGCAGTGAACTCATGAGTTGCAGCTGAAGTTTTCTTCCGCCTTATTATTGCCGAACTTTTATATTATTTATTCTGGGATAGATAAAGTATTTCACATTAAATTCCCTGTAACCC